TGTACTCTCTTCCCATTTTCCCTTTTTAGATATCTTTTACATGTTCCAGACAGGGTACCATTCATGACAGGTCAAGATAGGAAGTCTAATGGCAGCATACAGCATAGAAGATCCAAATAATCCAAACGTGGCATTTGAAAATCAGAATATAAAAGCATACACACTTTATAGGGCTATACAAATCATGGTTTAAATAGACAGAGATATAGGCATAACATTACTAATGAGAATAGTGGTGGACTATAGCTCATCCATCAGAATAAACGATTAACACAGACATTTACATTGAGCATGGCATAGCCAATTGGGTCAGGAACATGGCAACTGAGGATACATTTTGCTTGCTTGGCCATAATAATAATATCCTTACAGTTTACATGGTTCTCTCATTTATTTTCTCAGATAACAGTAAGACAGGTTTTACCTTGCCTTTAGCAAATAGGAACACAAAGACTCTCAGTGGTCACATCCATTCTGCTGGGTCACTTACCAAGTACACAACAGAGCCATGCCTCAACCCCAGGCTTGCCTGCGTGCCAAACCCGTTCTTCCATGTAACCCCGTGTGGGCCCAGTCTTCCACTGAAGGTCAGGAGCCACAGGCACTTGACGCATTGCCAGCGGTTCCGAGAGGTTGCCCCGTCCTTGGAGCTTCCTCCCGCTGGCTGGCACAGTCGTACTTGGGACTGTCCTTGCACTGTCCCATCCACACAGTGGGGGGTTTTCATCGTGATGTTCCTAGAGACCGGAGGAGAAGACAGGCCGTCAGATTCACTCAAGGCTTCAGTCAGTGGGTTTGTACAGCGAGGGAAAAATAACCAGCGTGGCTGATGCTGTGTGGGCTGCAGAGACTCAGAAGTCCAGCGCGCTTAATGTTTGGCGTCTCAGAAGACATCACCGTTGCTTTTCATGCTCCCTGGGAAGGACAGTAATTGACTGTGTGGGTTGAAGGCTGAGAGGCGAGAAGCGAAGGACTTTGTGCTAAAGTCAGCATAGAGCAGCAGTTGGGGGCTCCGGGTCCCATATCAGACTTAGTCCCTTGCTTTCTAACCCTGAAACCTTGACATTACCTAACACCTTGGCAGTTTTCTTTTTCTGCAGAACGGGGACTAAACTAATGTCCCTATACGAAACCTCTATCAAGAAGAAGGAACTCTTTTCTGGGCCATGATTACAATGGTGACTCATAGTGCGCGCTAAATAAGCATTCAGTGTCATGTGACAGGGAAGACCCTTTCCTGCATGCAAACAGAAGAGGCGTGGCCTCTCTCTATGATGCCCACGACAAAGCTGGCACTGCCAGAACACCTTTATGCCAAATATGCTCAGATGATTTTACTCGGCAGTAGACTCCCAGGCACTGACCAGAAGCAGACACATGTGCGCGATTTACATATGTGCTCTCCTAATACCTTCTCTGCCAAACGAGTGTGGGGTGAATGATTTGCCAGTCAGTGTTTTAGCTCAAAGAAAACCTCCCTTTTTCGATAAACCAATAAAAAAGCACATACTTGTTTCTGATTTTTTAAAAGACCACCGATTCTTCCTGCTAAGGACAGTGTTAGGAACACCGACCAGGGAAAAGTTTGTGTACTGGTCTGCAGATGCTGTCTTTCCATGTCTCCTTAAGAAAGAGTTACATAAAAAAAACAGATCTTTTTCAGATTTTTAAAAAATTTAAATTAGAAACAAGCTTGTTTTACATGTCAATCCCAGTTCCCTCTCCCTCCCCTCCTCCGCTGAACCCCTATCTCTCATCTCCTGTCTGCTCTCCAGGGAGGGTGAGGCCTTCCATGGGGGATCTTCAAAGTCTGTCACATCATTTGGAGCAGGGCCTAGACCCTCCCCCATGTGACTAGGCTGAGAGAGCATCCCTCTGTGTGGAGTGGACTCCCAAAGTCCATTCTTGTACTACGGATAAATACTGACCTACTACCAGAGGCCCCATAGATTGCCCAGGCCTCCTAACTGACACCCACATTCAGGGAGTCTGGATCAGCCCTATGCTGGTTTCCCAGGTATCAGTCTGGGGCCCATGAGCTCCCCCTTGCTCGGGTCAGCTGTTTCAGTGGAAAAACCTAGTCTTCTAAAGGAAGCTCCCACTCTGCACGTGTCTGTTTTCTCAGCCACCTTAGCACTCAGCGACGGGCAGCAGACAGTGACTACTCCGGCCTGGGAATTCCCTGGCTTGCCTTAAGGACCGAGTATGAATCCAGCTGTCTGTATGCAAAATGAATAAGCTTAGCTACCAGTTTCTAGACACACAAGCAGATTCACTACTGTCTCTCTCAAAGCCCTTCTCCCCCAAGGATATTGTTACATCTGTTCTCGTTCCAACACAAACCTGGGCACTGTCCTTGGCTGCTTTTCCCTATTTTTTTCTGTGAATCTTTACTTTTATTCACTACAGAGTTGTAAGTATATTTTGTATACTACATGTGGACAGGAATATGAAATTGCCGTGTCCTCTTGTGATAGATTGTCTTTATTCTCAATCATTTTTTGTAATTTTTAATTTAGGTTAGAAACAATCTTGTTTCACATGTCAATCCCAGCTCTCTCTCCCTCTCCTTCTTCCCCACCCTCCCCACCAGGTCCCCCAGTCCCCCACCCAATCTCCACTCCAATCCCCAGGGAGGGTGAGGCCCTCCATGGTGGATCTCCAGTAACTGTCATTTCATTCAGGCCAGGGCCTAGGCCCTCCCTTTTTTTGGGGTTTTCCAAGACAGGGTTTCTCTGTGTAGCTTTGGAGCCTGTCCTGGAACTCGCTCTGTAGACCAGGCTGGTCTCGAACTCACAGAGATCCGCCTGCCTCTGCCTCCCGAGTGCTGGGATTAAAGGCATGCGCCACCAACACCCAGCTCTTCTTTTCCCTCTTAAACCTCCCCAACCATCTAGTCATTTGTTATGCTAGATCTTCTCAGTGGTGTTTTCCTCATCTAGTCCAGAACTGGCTTGTCCTTGCTACCTTCTTGATGGGGATTTCCAGTAGTTTTCTACTTCTCTCCCTTCCAAGTGAAACATATTGCCATCCCTTAGACTGCCTGTCTCCATTAGGGCAAAGACTGTGCTTCATTTTTTCTAATATAAGTTTAATGACCTCTCAGTGCTTAACACACAGTAGTCACTAAATGCTCACATGCTGTAACACCGACATCTGCAGGATTTAAGAAACGAACCCTCCCTCCCATGACTCCATGCACAACCACTACCACTGTTCTTCAGAATGTAAGACTGAGCACATTACTTCCTAGCTAGAGCGTTTTCGTGTTTTGTGTTTGTGTTGACCAGGGTTCGCCTGAGACGAAGCAGCACATGTTTATCCACGGCACCTGATGCTCGAAGGAAGGCATTGCATGCTTGTCGTGGATTCTCAGGGTCTCCACCAGCTCTATTTTGTCACCGCCGCACCGTCACCACCACCACCAACATCCCTTCCCCATCATTATCATCATCGCCACCGTCAACATTGTTCTGGGGCTGATGACTGAGCCAGTGTCTTACACAATGCTAGGCGAGAAATCTGCCACGAGCTAGATACAATCCTCTGTCTGTTCTTCAATGACATTTATGGCTGTTCTGGTCCATTCACCATGCACTCTGGGAATCTTGACACTGGAAACTCCCTCTGCCGATCCCTTTATCATTTAAAACCCAATTTTAACATTCCCCTTTTCAGAAAACTTCCATGACATTTCTTTTCTTGACTTGGAAGATTTTGGCCTCTGCAGCTTTTCCTCTTCGTGTCCCCCACCATTGAAATGACCACTGTATTCTTGCTTCATCATTTGCTTGAGACAAGGGTTGTGTTTAGTCATCTTTCTGACCTGCATCGCTGGCCGAGAGAGATGCTCTCAACAGGTGGCTAAATAATACTGCTTCCTTCACTTTTTAAAGAAAGTAAATGAGTTTGTGAATTTTTTAAAAAAGTGTGTTTTCATGAAGCTTTGTGGTGAAATTTCGCACAAACTTTCATGTGAAAATAAGTGAAGTGGTTTGAGAAAGACCATAGTGAACCTGCTTGTGTGTCTAGAAACTGAGTGCAAGGGACAATCTATAGCAAGCTTTGTGGGAAAATAAGTGAATTTGTATGGTGGATGCTATGAGGGACCATCTGTAGTAAGCCTTATGGGGTTTGGATTTCCTGGTATTGGGGTCTATCTTTCACATTTCACAATCCTATTTTATGTCACAGACCAGATTCTAACACAATCTTCATTGTTTGAAAACACGTTTACTTTTCTATGTAAAAGTAAAGTTGAATTGTTTTAGGTATAATGAGTCTCGGATATCCTTTTCCTTTATTAACTAACACCCGGTAATGTAGTTATGTTTTCCTTTTGGCTTCAACCATCCCCGCCACCCTCTAGGGGTTTGAAGTTGTTTGAAGGCAAACTGTGTTAATATTTGCTAAGGAAGCAGAAATAGTATGGTTTGTTGATATTTATTTCTTACAAAGAACTGACTCACATGCTTACGGAAGTCGGTGAGTTTAAGGTCAGCAAAGCTGATGTGCCAAGTTGAAGGCCATCAGAGAGAAGATTTCTCTGCTACTCTAGACACTTGACTAGTTGAAAAAAGCCCACTCACATCATGAGGGTAAATCTGCTTTAGTCTACTGATGTTAACAGCATCCCAAAACACTGCTATAAAAATATCTAGGAAGGGGCTGCAGAAACAGCTCACTGTGGTTCAGAGTAACACACTGCTTTACTAGAAGACCAGCACACATGCCAGGAGCCTCACAGCTACCCACACCTTTAGTTCTAGCGGGTCTTGTACCCTTTGTTGCTCTCCACAGACAGATAGACAGACAGACAGACAGACAGACAGACAGACACACACACACACACCTCCTTAAAAATCCATAATGATGCTTAATTAAATATCTAGGTACTTCATTGCAGGTCACCATATGAGGCAGATTCTGGGCTATAATCACTTGTGTTGGTCTTTAGTCTCAAATGATCTCTTTGTATCTCTGTCACTTCTCTCTCAAAGGATCTGTGTCCTCTGGAGTCTCCCAGACCCATCATAACATGCGGTACGCTGCAGAAGAAGAGATGTCACTGAAACGTGTGTTTGGATGAAAGAGAAGAGCTAGAGTGAGTCATGGAGTGAGAGCCGTTCCATCATGTTTCAGTGTGCACCTCCTTAATCTTTTCCACGTGTAAATTAAAAATGGCCAGAGCATCTGGTGCGGGTGTGGAGAGCAGGAGTTGAGGTGGAGGGTGGATCAGGAGCAAGCTTCACAGTTAAGGTGTCAAAGTTCCCCATGCTTAGAATCAGCCCAGAAACCTAAATCTCACTTTCGGGTGGAAATTAGACCTTACTTAACTTGTTAGTTACTTTAAAGCCCCTGGGTGTGGTAGCACGCATCTATAATTCTAGGACGTGGGAAGGGGAGTCGGGAGGATCAGGTGTTCAAGCCCAGCCTTGGATCACAGTGAGCTGTGCTGGAGGCCAGCATGGGCTACATGAGATCCTGTCTCAAAAACTGACAAACTAAAAACAACAAACAAACAAACAAGTGAAAAAGGTTAGTCACCCTGCTGAGGGGCGTGGTTTCTGTGTGTGTCTTCAAAATGCTATCTATTCCTGATGTGCTTGTCATGTCACATTTTACAGCTGCAGTAAAAGGTGTAAACAGCTTTGGAAAGTAACTGCCCTCTTTTCTCTACCTGAGCAATGCCTGTTTTCACCCAGTTGAAAGTTGTCTCATAGAAAGAACTTGAAATTTTATCCCTGACTCATTCTTTTACATAAAGCGGTAGATTTGCTGGACAAGCAATTGGTTTTCTCTGCATTTCTTTATATTTTTATTTTATTAACCCCAGAGAAGCAAAACTAGGAACTGGATAGATGGCCAGGGGTAAAACACTTGTTGCTCAAGACTTGATCTGGATAGATGGCTCACGGCTAACAGCATCTGCTGCTCTCACAGACGGAGGCCTGGGTTCAGTTTGCAGTACCATATGGTGGCCCACAATTGTCTGTAATTCCGGCCCAGGGGATCCAAAACCCCCTTCTGACCCGTGAGTGAACCATTTATACATGCGGTGCATATACATCCATGCAAGCAAAACCACTCATACTTACAAATGTAACTAAAACAAAATAAACAAAAAACCCAAACCAACTCCCCCTCTCCTCCCAAAACCACTGAGATTCCCTAAGGCAGGTGAATGCTATTAGGACAATCTGGCCTAGTGAACGTGTTGAGTGTGACTCCAGATAGCTGTATTCAGAGAAGGGACAAGGGCATGCTGGTTTTGCTGCTAGCTTGGAGTTCATGATTCTCAGACATACACTTTTCACATGTTTTTAAAGTGATTTCTTTCTTTATATAACTCAGTTTTCATAAGACTTGTGTGCTTCAAGCCATTATATGTAGAGTTTGTAATAGAATTCCACAAATTACAAGGCCACACTTTTCAATTGTACTGTTTCTTGAACCAAGTCTTGTCTAATTTGCCTTAGTCATGGGTAAAATAACTACCAGCTAAGTACTAAGGTACTTACTTTTGAAGAATGATTTCATCAGCAAGAAATGCTGCAATGAATTTTGTAAGCTCTTATATTATGTAAGCGGAGGGTGCTCAGAAGAACTAGGAGTACTTTCTTTCTGCCAAGACACAGGCATCAGCAGCATCCTGTCTACGAACACAGTAATTAACTTACATTAAGCCTCTGGCAACTCCTCTGATTAGCTGAGTTATAGCATTGATTATATTATTTTGAAGCAATAAGGCCCTGCTGTTAGGAGGCTTTTCTGTGCAGAGTCGTCAAATATAAAAATAAATTAATTTTTTGCAAATGCAGACACTGTATAACCACCATACAGAATAACATCTGTGTATTGATATTAGCATCAATGTTTTCCAGCAGCCACCTGTTATGCCCATGCAAAGGTGGCCATTGTTATCACCCTAGTCACTGTAAGTTACACTTGAACTTCCTTTAAATACATCTTTAAATACATTTATAAATGGTGGGGATGTAAGCCAGCGATACACTTCTTGCTTAGCATGCATGAGACCCTGGATTCAGTCTTCAGCACCACACACAAAAAAGCTGTATGAAAATTTTAATCTGACAGTTTGGGCATGGTGGTGCAACCCTGTAATCCCAGCACTCAGGAGGCAGAGGCAGGCTGATTTCTGAGTTTGAGGCCAGCCAGAGTGAGTTCCAGGACAGCCTGCACTATACAGACAAACCCTGTCTCAAACAGAAGCAAAAACAAAAGCAACAAAAATTAAGATGAGGACTTAGTCCAGGAAATGTACAAAGAAATATCCAAAGGGAAATAATGGACATAAGAAGAAAGGCTAAATATATTTTACTCAGTAATAAATTTTAAAAAAGGAGAAAGAAAAATTGCAGAGTAGATAAATCTAAGCTGCTTAGATGATTCGTCATAGAGTAGCAAAAGTTAAGATTACAAACTGTGCAATTATATCTTATTTTTCATTCTGAGACTTCTTTGCCGGAATATGAGATTTGTGCCCCAGCTGTGTGTGGAGACACATTAACCCTTCTTATTATTGTGCAGCTCAAATATCTCACAGCTTATCCATTTACACTTGATAGGCAATGAGCTGAATTCAGTTAGAGATACAACTTCTACATACATTTTTGTGCATTTCCTTCAGTGGAGAAATCACCTTCATTCCTGGTGTTAGGCTTGTTTGACAACACCACAAAGTGATGCGCACTTCCCTTCTGAGCAGCTAAGAGTGGGGTTTCCAGAGGCGCCACACGCTTAGTGTTGCTGTGTATTGTCAGTTGTTTGTCTCGAAAGTTCTGTTCTATGTGTCCTGAGAGACAATTGTAGTTTAATCTAAATTTCCCTGGTAGTTCATGTCCTAGCTCTTTACACATGCTTATTATCTTTAATAGTTAAAATCACACAAGAGTTCATTCTGGTCTTTAGCCCTTAGGACTTCTTTTTTTTTTTTTTTCTTTACATTTTAGCTGTTCTAAAGCTTAATTTATATTTGTTGAATGTAGAGATGATTTGCAGGTAGACTTTGGATTATTTCAGAGTTTAGGAGCTAAAATATCAGAAATGTGATCTGATTTTGAGCAGTTTTCCTTTTCAGTTGGAGACGTGAACATAATTAAATGGACTATCGTCTGTCAACTCCCATCAAGAAAGCACACACGTAGATTTTCCTGATTTGTATGTGATACTTTTGTCAGTTTGTAATCCATGTCAGAAATGGCACATTGTTTTAAATACTATGTGGATCAAGGTTATTAAGGTTATTTTTATTTTATTTTTTAAATAAAATTTTATTTGACTAAAAATAATCTTATTTTACATACCAATCCTAGTTCCCTCTTCCTCCCATCCTCCCATGTCCCATCACAATTCCCCATCTCACTCCTATCCACTCCCCAGGGTGCGTGAGGACTCTCATGGGGGATCATTAAAGTCTGTCACATCATTTGGGACAGGGCCTAGCCCCCCTACCCCCATTCATCTAGGCTGCAAGAGTGTCCCTCCACAGGGAATGGGCTCCCGAAGCCCATTCGTGCACTAGGGATAAATAATGGTTCCACTGCAAGACACCCCATAGACTGCCCAGGCCTCCCAATTGACACCCACATTCAGGGGGCCTGGTTTAGTGCTTTGCTGGTTTCCCAGCTGTCAGACTAGGATCTGTGAGCTCCCCCTTGCTCAGGTCAGATGTTTCTGTGGGTTTCCCCAGCATGGTCTTGACCCCTTTGCCCTTCACTCCTCCCTCTCTACAACTGGATTCCAGGAATTCAGCTCAGTGTTTAGCTGTGGGTGTCTGCTTCTGCTTCCATCAGCTACTGGATGAAGGCTCTGGGATGGCAATTAAAGTAGTCAACATTCTCATTAGAGAGGAAGGGCATCAAAGGCAGCCTCTCCACTACTGCCTGGATTCTTAGTTGGGGTCATCCTTGTGGATCTCTGGACATTTCCCTAGTGCCAGATTTCTCTTTAAACCTATAATGACTCCCTCTATTAAGGTATCTCTTTTCTTGCTCTCTTTCTCTATTCTTCCCCTGACTAGATCTTCTGGTCCCTCATGTTCTCCTCCCCCTCTCCCCTTGGTTATTAAAGGTTAGAAGTTATTTAAGATCAGAGTGTGATGCTTTCAGAAATCAAGAATTCCCATCACGAGCCGTATTCAAGTAGAAATGGATGCTCATTGGCTAGAGAATAAAAACAGGGTTTCAAATTGAAGTATACCTCTGACTAGTTTATACTAACTTTCCTTTAAACAATGAGATTACTTAATTTTATGAAATGGGGATTCTTTTTTATGATACAAAAATACTAATTGCAGGCCTTGAGAAATGGTTCAAAGGTTAAGAGCAATGGCTTTTCTGTCAGAGAACCTGTGTTCAATTCCAAGCACCCACAGGGCTGCTCATAAATACAACTCCAGTTCCAAGGAATCCAATGCCTTTTCCTGACCTCTGGGGGCACCAGGCATGTACATGGTGGATATATACACACATGCAAGCAAATACTCATATAAATAAAGTAAAAAGTATTTTTAAAATTGAAAAAAATTCCAAAACCAACCCCCCCAAAACACCAGTTGGGCATTGATGGGGGAAGTCCTGTACATTTGTTAATAAAGCACTGTTGGCCAATAGGAATCTAGATGGGTGGGACTAGGAGTCCAGGAGGATTCTGGGAAGGAGAAACACAAGAGAATTCGAGATGTAATGCGATGGGGTAGGAGCCCGGAACTATTCTCCGGTAAGAGACATACTTAGATTAACAATTATGGGGTAATTACTTAAGTCAGAGCTAGCCAGTAAGAAACAAGCAAGGCCAACAGCTTCATAATTAATATAGCCTCCTGTGTGTTTATTTGGGGACTACAATGCGGCAGAGCCCAGGCGGCTGGCGGGGGATAAACCAAAGCGGCTAGCAAAGATAAAGCTTCTCTTAACAGGGCATCTTTAAAAGATGCTATGATATCATGACCTCAGCCAACCTTAATGATGACTCTGGGTAATAAACTATACATTTTAATTTCTATTTTATGGGTAAAGAAAATGGAGGGATGAACTTGTTCCATCTGGCTAGCTTCTAAAGAGGCAGAGTCCACAGCTGTCTTGGTGTTGACCTTGTATTGTGGGATTATCTTTCTGTATGCTGTGAATATGTATTGCTCCCATTGGTTAAGATTAAAATCTGTTTGGCCTATGGCAAGGCAGGATAAGGTTATGCAGAACAATCCAACTGAGAGCTCAGATGAATAGGGGCATAGTCACAGGAGATTTGAGCCAGTCACCCAAGAAGATGCCAGCAGACCAGTAAAGCCACGGCCATGTGGCAATACATAGATTAATAGAAATGGGTTTGTTTAAATGTAAGAGCTAGTTAGTAATAAGCCTGAACTATAGGTCAAACATTCTGTAATTAATATTAAGCCTCTGAGTGATTATTTAGAAATGGCTGTGGATAGGGTAGGACAGAAAATCCTCTGTTTAAAGCCTTAGTTCTCAGTTACTGCATTTTGGAAGCTGGAATTTATAATCCCCAAGGAACAGGTTTAGTAAATAGATGTCCCACTACAGGAGCAAGGGTTTGCTGAGATGCTTGATATCAATTATAGATGTCTATGATGAATATGCACATATTTGTGTCTAACATGTATAAACCTATGTATACATATTCATTTGGATTGTTTATAGGTAAGATATACAGTTTTGCAGAATAACATATGGTGCATTGTGCAGGAGATGTGTGAAAGCAACAGCTGCAGTAAATTTTGCGTTTACATCATGAGGACTTCAAGAGTTTGGAGAGAAGCTGACTGATGGATAAAAGTGAGGCAAAGAACGCACTGTTGCCAGAATGAGTACAAAGGTTGGTACTATTAGGTCAATGGCTTCTTGGGAGCCTACTGTTGACTGTATATTGTGGCTGAGAGACACAAAGTGATGCTTTTACCAACACTTCTCTGTGCATACATTCTACATGACATTTCTTGATAGTTAGAGGACAAAAGTATTCACGGGTCCCTAATGGCAAAAGAAGAAATGAGCAAAAAGCTATAAGAAGATTGTCAGTCATTTGCTGTTTAGCAATAATGTCAATTGTATAGCCCAAAACCTCAGTTACTTCGTGTAAAAGTCCCCGAATATTTTTATTGTTATTTTACTCTGTTTGTCTAAGTTCTCAACTGTTGAATATGGATTCAGTAATTCAGGGCTATGCTTTGGGCTTTCTGTTTAATCGAGGAGTTTAGATTTCCAAGGAGGAACTCTTTGTGCTGTCTGTAGGCATTGAAACCCAGACAGAAGATCCTGTCCCTCTGTTTCTGTGCTCAGTGAGCTGCTGTTTCATCGCTTGCCAAGTCATGGCCACCTGTGGCTCTGCCTGGGCAGCCTTGTCCTCAGCAAGCCAGACATTATGCTCACAGGAAAAGCCTCCGGAAGCTGAGCTATAAAGCGATCATCTCACATGACCAGTGTTGTGATCATAAGGATCTGCTGAACGCACGAGCTGACATGTTTGCTTTGGGCAGACACACTGTCCATTGCTTTTGTTGGCAACGCTGCCAAGAGCTTTTGCACACAAACAGTTAGTTGCAAGTCATCTAATTTTCCACACAGGAAAATCAGCATAGAATAGACAGTCCTCTGAAGATTTATCTTCTCTTTTCCTGTTGTTTGTACTTTGTTAAACTCCAGTCACTAAAGGACCAGTGACTGAGGCCTGGGACCTCTCAGGGATGTAACACTTAGTCTCAAGGCTTCTCTAAATGTGCTAAAATAGCTTCATTAGCTAAGATGCATGATGAGACTGTATGACTCAGTGAGTAATCTCACTGAAATTGTGGAAGTACAATTAACTAGTTCTTCTAGAAGATTTTGATGCCTTGTTTCTGTCTGTTCTTGGTAGTGAGGAATATGTCTCTATCTTTTAAAATGGGATCATCTGCATTTTGAATGAAATGAGTTATTTAACTGTGGAAAAGACTATAGATTATCCTCATCTGTAAAACTGTTTAAACAAAACTTTTCAGGCTAAACAATTTGCCTTGGCAGAGCTTTCAGGAGACAACCTGGCAACTCTTTTGCCTTTGGGGAAGTTTCTGACACTGAATTATGCAGGTCTATCTCAATCTGGTATCAAATGGCATCTAGTTCAACTTACATGTTGTCTCTATGGTCTATTTTCTATTCACCTCTGAGTTTCAGTATTCTTATGTTTGAAAAATGACAAGTGTAGTAAGAATAACATTTATTAAACCAAGACACACACCTATAATGTCAGTATGCAGAGACAGAGGCAGAGACAGAGAGGCAGAGAGGCAATCTCTGTGAGTTGTAGGCCAGCCTGGTTTATATAGTAAGTTATAGGGTAGCCAGAGTGGCATAGTGAGCTCAAAAAGAATCAAACAACAATAACAAAATATTAACAAAAGGCAAACATCCATACCATGTATTTTATAAGCCCCGGTAAGTTGTTTTGACCTTACAATGAGCTTCCTACTGTCATTACACATGCTTTACTGATGAAGAACTCAGAGGTACAGAAGTTAAGCTGTAAACTATCAGATTTAGAAAGTGGAAGAACTGGTTGGATTGTGAACATAGGATGCTGCCTACAAAACTCAAGTACTAAGCCATTATTATGATACTGCTACCTTCTGATTGCTGCCTTCATATTGACTTGGATAAACATGTGGATCTAACAATGTCTTCTCCTGGGTATCTTTACCTGTATGTCTTCAAAGACAAAAGGTGAAAGATAGCATCTCCTTGGAACCATTTACTCTCTGTGTTACTTTCTCTTCAATTTTCCAGTGATCAACTCTAACTAATCTTGTACTACAACTTTCCAGCCATATAGAGCTTTTTCTACCTTTTCACCATTGGCACCTGAATCAGGTGATTTTTTTTATGATGGTGTTACAGTATCCTTGAAGGCCACTGAACCTTTGAACTCCAGCTCAAACTTTCGTGGTGACACTAGAAAGACAGACAGCTTCACCATTCCTTAAGGGCTAGTCAAAAGAATAGAATACTTCTGGTCCTGGGTGGCGACATTGGCATCCTGACCTATTCTAAGGATTAGACCATTGCATACTATATTTTTCCTTCCTTAAGAGTTAATCCAGCTGGGATGTCAATCACCTGGTCAAGAGACCATCACCTAGGAAGGTTAATTCACCTAAAGCCATGCGAAAGAGATGGGAGGAATAATTATCCCCTTCATAAGATAACATACTTTTTCTTACATGATGTAGTCACTTGTGATGCTGCCATCATTTAGCTCTGCTAAGTCTATCCTCCTTTTATAAGTTACTTAGACCTCCTTTTCCTTCCTTCTTTTTAATCTCTTTTTTCCTTCTTCCAGATACTAGCCAGACCCTGGACATGCTTTCTCTGATGATCTGGACTCTCTCCCCCTTTCTCGGAAGCTCCTACCTCCTTGCCATGACACTGCTTACACACCATATAAATGCTTGATGACATCTATACCTACCTAAAAAAGCATGCTTTCTCTTCTCTATCTTATTCGCTAGGAAGTCACCAAGATTTACAGCTTGCCCTATTGCTTTTCTTTTAAATACTAATAAAAAAGCTTTCAAACTTCCTTCTGAGTCCATATTAAGTTCTTTTATTAATGAGACTAAGAGCCCAAAGAGAGGACTTCAAGTTCTCTGGTAACTATAGTGTGCATGGGAAAATGACTGGCCACACTCCTGTGCTCTTGTCCTCTGTCTGCTAAAGGTGTCCCTGTTGGGACAACAAAAACTGCTTTCAGACATTGCCAAGTATCTTTTCTTAAGAAGGACCATGCTTTAGAGTAAGAAAAATGAGATGTATTTGATGGGCAGGATATTGATTATATTATTATATTATATTATATTATATTATAATGGCTCAGTGGCTAAGAGCACAGGCTGTTCTTCCAGAGGACCTGTTTTGATTCCTAGCACCTACACAGGTACAATTAACTGTAACTCCAGTCCTAGGAGACCCAACATTCTCCTCTGGTCTCCAAGGACATTGCACACATGTAACACTCATGCACATAAAGTAAGAATAAACTACATTAAAAGAAAATTTAAAAATTTTGGTGCTTTTTTATTTTGTATGTGTGTGTGTGTGCATGTTTGCTAACATGTGCATTCATACATGTGTACATGTTAGCAGAAGCCAGATGAAGCCTTAGGTGTCAAGAGCTGAGGACAGGGCCTCTCACTGGCTTGGAACTCATTAAGTAGACTAAGTCAGCCAAAAACCCCTCAGCTAGCCCAGTCCCATCCCATTTAGATTTAATTATCACTACATTTGAAATTCATATTTTTGCCAGTTTCTTTAAATATCAATTTTCTTATGTGTTCAATCCATCTTTTACTGTTTTAGGGAGGAACTAAAATAAGGATGATCCATTGTGGTGGTTTGAAAGACAATGGTGCCTGAAGGAAGAGGCACTATTAGGTGCTGTGAAAGCCAAAGTTACATTTTAAGTTTTAATCACTATGCCTAAGAAATCCATGATCTAAAATGCCTCTGATCTGCAAGCCCCTTGCCCAAGGAGAGATAGTTCCTGAAATGCTGCAGGCTATTGTTCATGGGCGCTAATAAGACACATATTACTCCCTTAAACAAGTTTGTTTGACCCATCTACACCAGATGTGCTCTGTTACAGTTACACATAGGCTGGAGGTTCATAGGCAGGAAATATGTCAGAATGTATGCTTGCCCCTGATTGGACCCAATGGGAAATACTTAAGCTGCCACAAAACCTGATTCAGGGTCATTTTCTGGAAACCCAGAGATAGACCTGGCCAGAGCCCACCCACATAGCCATTATTTAATTAAAGCTTGCTTCAAATTTGTCTTTAAAATGTTTTATTTTCTATTGGTGGGATTAACAGTGACTTCGTTGCTACAGGAAGCATATCACTGGAGGCAGGCTTTGAGGTCTCATATATGCTCAAGCCATGACCAGTGATACAGACCACTTCCTATTGGCTGCAAGTCAAGATGTAGGACTCTAGGTTACTTCTCTAGCACCATGTCTGCCTGCACACCACCATGTTGCACCATGATGATAACGGACTAGATCTTTGAAAATGTAAGCCACCCTGATTAAATGTTTTACCTTTGTAAGAGTTGCCGTGGTCATTGTGTCTCATCACAGCAATAGAAACCCTAAGAAAGAAGTTGGTACCTGGAGTGGAGCATTGTTGTGATAGGTTGGACCATGTGTTTTTTGGAGGAATTTGGTCTTTGGTGCTTTGGGTTTGGAAAGCAGTGGGATGCTTTAAGCACTGCTCAATGGGCCACACTAGTAGGAACATGGAAGACAGTGGTGCTGAGAATTATTTGAACTGTGGGGGACTAGCTCAAGAGATTTCAGAGGAGAAACCTTTTAGTACATTGCCTAGAGATCTTTCTTGTGATATTTTGGTGAAGAATGTAGCTGTCTTTTGCCTTTGTCTGAAGAATCTGACTGAGCCTGAAGTGAAGAGGTTTGGACTAATTCTGTTGGCCGAGGAAATCTCAAAACAACCTAGTATAGACTCTGTCATGTGGTTATTAGTGTTAACTCTAATGAAGATTTATAATGAAAAGGAGCAAGGTGAGCAGGGTAAATTATAAAATGTATAATTTGAGGAGAAAAGGAGCATCAGGAAGGAGAATGGAACTAAGTCCTGTGTTCAAGGAGACAAATGGATTAAGTAAGAAACGGAATAAAGGGAGTGGTGACCCCAGGGCAAGATCCACCCAACTAAGTTTCCAACTTGTGAAAAGCTTAGAGTTGGGTGTAGGTGTAGTGGCATGCATCTTTTGTCCCGGTACTCTAGAGGCAGAGGTTGGCGGATCTCTGAGTTGGAGATAAGCCTGGTCTGCAGAGCAAGCTCCAGAACAGTCAAGCTTAGGCAGTGAAGGAAACCACTGCAAACAGGAAGCCTGTGAAGTTGTAATTGAACAAGGGGTTCACAGTCTAGCCTAGCCTTGGCAGCTTTGGCCACGTGGCTCTGACTTTAGACAGAAGAAATAGATTATGGAATATTCCTCCATGACTAAGGAAACCCATTGAGACCAGGCATGTGTCAGGTGTGTCTCTGAATGGAGGCCTAGAGAGGCCATTGTGTGAAGCCATGAAGAAGCATCTCCGATGTTAGAGATGTCAGAGTTGTGGGATACCTGCCAAGGAACGCTGCTAAAAGGGAGTAGAAACAGCCCAAGAGAAAGAAGTATGTTATAGTCAATAAAGCTGAAAGGAGCTGGAGATCTGAAGATTGCTTTGACCTAAGACATGGAGGCACAGAGTTTGGAGTTTGCCCAGCTGGTTTTTTGTCTTGCTTTGTTCCAGCATTTCCTGGCTATGCTCCCTTCCTTGTGTCTTGGAACAGTAATGCATATCTTGTGCCATTATATGTTGAAAGTATGTGATCTGTTTTTTCCTCCTGATTTTATAGGGATTGCAGTTTAGAGATGGCATGGATCTCAGAAAGGACTTTGAACTTTAGACTCAAGTTTGAGACTGTTACAGACTATGGGGACTTTTATAGTTGAACTGAATGCATTCTTGCTTTCTGATATGGTTTCAAGCCTTTGGGGGCCAGAGAGTAAAATGTGGTGATTTGAAAGAAAATGCTCCCCAAAGGTAGTAGAAGTATTAGGAGGTGTTGCTTTGTTGGAGTAGGTGTGGCTTTGTTAGAGGAAATATGTCACTATTGAGGTGGGCTTTGAGGTATCATATATGCTCAACCCATGCCCATTGTCTGAGACCACTTCCTGTTTCCTTTGGATTAAGATGTAGTATTCTCCAGCACCATGTCTGCCTGAATGCTGCCATACTCCCAGCTGTCATGTTCTCTGCCGTGATGATAATGGACTAAGCCTCTGAAACTGTAATCTGCCTCCTCAATTAAATGGTTTTTCCTTTGTAGGAATGGCCGTGGTCTGCTCACAGCAATAGAAACCCTAACTAAGACACCAGGAAATGTATTTTGTACTTTATATGTGAGAATGGAGAAGCAGTAACTAAAGGTAGCCTGTAAAACATTAGATAGCAACCCATTCCCCATTGCTTTTGACATGTATGACTTCTTTAGAGAAGACAATGGACATCAAAGTGATTTGGGACCTTGGGAATATGTAATGCAGTGAGACCTAAAATACAGTTTTATAGTTAAATGATGGAGGTATGTATGACATCTGTACAGCCACTGAGTTATAGAGAAAGCAGGACCTACTTAGAGCCAGGACAGACTGGCAGACGTTTTACTAGAAATAATGATTTATTTCTCATTGTTGTAGCTTCCGTCCCTTCCCCTCACCATAGCACCTCAATTACTGGGGAAGAAAAGCAGCGCAGGAACCTGAGTACTATCCCCAGGACAAGGACATTTGTGGAGTCTTCGGAATGTAGATGGCAACCTTTTCTCCCTTCCAGTGACAAACAGCTGAGTTTCCACTAGGACATTCTCTCTGCTGAAAAGCGTGCTCACATCATGACCTCCTTCCCAGAGTCCCACACAAGAAGAATTTGCCTGGCAGGAAAGATGGCTCCAATACGTGGAGGAACAATGAAAACCTAGCAAATGCTGCTAAGAAATGATTGTCTCGAGAACAGAAGATTCTGTCTACATCTGCAGATGAATTTGTAGATCTATTCATCTTTGTGATACACACACGTACCATTTACATGGCCTTTCATCTGGTACAAGAAAGGAATGTAAAGCATACATTAGAACTTAGAAGGTGTAATTGTTATTTTTCTTATGTATCATTTCCAGGCTGGTTATGGTAAAGATCCCAAGATAGTTTTTCGAGGAGGGTGTTGAGTCAGTCAAAGTTAAATGAGATTTAAATTTAAGAATCCACTTGGGCGTTGGTGGTGCACGCCTTTTATTCCAGCACTGGGGGAGGGGGGGGGAGGCAGAGGCAGGCGGATCCCTGTGGGTTGGAGGCCAGCCTGGTCTACAAGAGCTAGTTCCAGGACAGCCTCCAAAGCTACAGAGAAACCCTGTCTCGAAAAACAAAAACAAACAAATAAAAACAAAACAAGAATCTAAAAGGGAATTATGTGTCTTACGACAAATTTCGAGCATACAGGAAACAAAATAGAATACATAAAATGAAAAAGAAAACAGGCAGAACTGAATACAGTAACTAGGACAACAGAGTTCATTTGGGTTGAAAACGGAAAAAGGTTCAAACACAGAAACTTAAAGAAAAATAAACATGCGGATACGAAGAAATGAGAATTTTGGAGGTAGTGAAATCATCCTTAATGGTTTTGTTCATTAATCACGAGGGGAAAAGTCTCTTAAAACTCATCCAATTTCAGTGGGTGGGTATCTGAATATTGTCTGAGGCTGCTTTAATTTACACCAGACTTCTGTGAGGTCGTCTCGAGGAAAGTAATTCTGGATGACCTTTCATCAAAACTAAGCAACTGTGAACAAAAGGCATTTGGGAGGCAGAATAGTTGAGGGGATTAGTGATCTGGTTTATTAGTTCTGCATGAGCTTAATGAGTTCATATTCTTTGGTGGCGGTAGTCAGGTCAGTGGGCTTCATTCCTGAGGCGAGTCTGCTGGAAGGCGCCAGAGCAGCAGGAGCCAGGCCC